GAATAAAGCAAAAAGGACTCCTCTGTCTCCTTTTTGGACATAAACCTCTGGTGTTTGTGGATTAATTTTCCTGACAACACTAATATTTTTGTGTCTTGCACAACAGTCAGTGAGTCAACATTACATATCTGTGTGGGGGAAATGCTCATATCACTGATGAGAAAACTCAGATTTGTGAAAAGTGTTGCTTCAGTGCTCTGGTCTGTGACAAAGTAATTGTCCCTGTACCTTGCTTTGCAAACGGGGCTGTTTCATAATCAGCTGTGACAACATTGCACAGTGCACATTGTTACTAACTGGACCATAATGATATTCAGATCCTTGCTAATACTATGTTATGCGGTCTGGCTAAAGAGACTGAAAATTCTTAGGCAATGAAAAATCCATTCAGGTGTTTCAGTCCTGCTCCTTTCAGGACTAACAGCAATGTCTTGGAGATGTTTTGCACCTGTGTTTCCAGTGATAAACAGAGTACACAGTGTTGAATATGTAGAGTTCGGCTTGCTCAAGACACATTTTTCCTGAACAAAGTCAAGCAGAAATGAAACTTACTTGGCTGTCTATTCATATTATGTCTGGTCCACAGATCAAATAGGCAGAGGCAAGAGGTTTGTAATTGACCTCTGTTTGCAGATGGTAGCTTTGCAACTAAAAGCATACATTACTGGCAGGTTTGACCCTCAACCTGTTGTGTGGTGCAAATATAACCACAGATTAATTTTTGTGTGTTTCAAAGAACATATTTACGTGTCCAGAGAGAAAAGGAAGCATTAACCAAGTGGTTGAGTGGAGTGTGGGAGAGTAGCACAAAGAGCCCCAAATTGTGCTGTTTCACCCCTACTCTCACCTCTTCTGCATGTTGATCCTGGAGCGCAGCATAGGGGCCCTTGGTCCTTGCCTGAGCTGCACTGGGGTTATTCCTGCTTTCATACTTTCATGTGCTGCTCTTGCTGACATATTGACCAGACTTTGTGGCTTGGCCATGAACTTGCCATTGTCTGCAGTCGCTAATGACAGGTCAAGTTACTCTGCAGGGAGGTCACAATCCCTGTTGTGTTGTGACTGTGCTTGGCTTCCAGCTTGTCTTCTCTCGTGCCCCGGCTGCTCTGTGTCAAGTAGAGTGAAATACCTGATACTGATACTCTGGGTGTACTCCATATTGTCAGCTTAATATGGAAAATAATTAATAATGAGATATACTTAAAGATGTTGTTACTGACTTCTACTTAATTTTCAAACTCATTTATTGCTTTTTAAAAGTCATTTGTGGGGCTGCCAGGTCTGTCTTCCCTTTGAGTGAAGATACATTCTTCTCTAATCCTACGTTGTCCTTAACTGAATTTGAGTGTGCAGAAAATTATAAACTTAATCTCAACTGCTCAAAATCAGATCACATATCAGAAACATAATTAAATTAATCCTGCTTTTTTTAAAGGAGAAGTTGGGCAAGATTTCATGCAAGTTCAAGTTAGTTTTGTTCATGCCACTCTTAGAACAAAACCTATGTAAATATATAAAGCCAAATTTAAAAACATACCAAGTATCATTGTCAGTTTGATGATTATGAATGTGCTTCTTTGTGTATCTGGGTCAAACTGCTGGGAAATATCTGGCACAGTTGCAGAAGTGTTGCCTGTTTCTGAGCCTTTTCCCATGTCAGAGTCCTTTTTTTTGTTGTTTTTTTGTTTGCTTGGGTTTTTATTTTTGTTGTTTGTTTTTCCAATTTTAATTTCTGTTGAATCGCCTCCCCAGGACTCTGTTGGGCATGTGTGGAAATATACACAAAACTAGTTGCTAAAATAATTTTTAATGAATAATTTTTAAACAGGTGAGATTAGCCTGTTCAATAAAATGAGTGGTTAGGAGTTACCATGCTAGAGATGTTTTGGGTAGCACAGTACAAGCCAGGAGCAGGCTTGTAACACCACTGGTTTCTAGTTTGATCTTCAGTTCTATTATTTTCATGGTAAATGAAGCCCACGCGTGGCTTGTGGCCAGCCGGTGGCTTCGCTCCCGCCAGCGCAGCGCTGGCGCGACTATCTGGCGGCACAGCGACGCGACATTCCCACCCCACGGACACTGCACAGGAGCGGCATCCCGCCCCGACGGCAAGATAGGAGCAGTTACAGGCTTTGCAGTAGCATTCCACTACGCCAACCACGTGCGGCTGATGTGTAAAGCGACTTCGCGGCATTCTAGAGTGCCTGGACTACTGATGCTCCTCGGAACGGCTTTCTGACTGCCCTGAAAACTCGGTGCAATACAGCTAAAATGTTTTGGCTAGCAGCTCCCTCGTGCAATAGTTAAGTTCAAATAAATTCAAAACAAAACATAGTGAATTATTTTTTTTCATTGCTTCTCGATTGTTTTTACACTTCCTAATTCTACTTGAAAGTGAAGATATAGTAGTAGTATTTTGGAAAATATATGCTTGAATTTTTAGACCCAAGAGGTACTGCTTAGTGATTTAAGTCACATATGCATTAATTAAAAGTAGGAACTTGGACCAGTGTTGGTTGAATGCTGAGACCTAGATCTTAACATTAAATATTAATAAATCCTCCTTTTCCTCCCCCCTTCCTAACAGGGCTGAATTTTTTTTTGTTTTGTTTTCTTTGGCTACAGATGTCTGCTCTTCCAAGGCAAAGTGCATCTATGATGTGTGAACATTTTTAATGCAGTTTCTTTCTCAGGAGCAAAAATAATTCTGCTAACAAGTTGTACATATGCTCCATTCAGAACGAAAAGTGCTTCTGTTGAGAAATACCTAGAAATTACTACTTAACTGCATAGGATTATAATACTTTATTATGATAATACACAAAAAAAATTATGTGCAAACTGTTGTTTAACATCATAACAGCCGTGACAGATTATAGAACAAAACTTCCCATCTTATTTTTATGTCAATTCCCCAGTCTACTGAAAACTGCATTAACATATATTTAGATGTAACAAAGAAATCAATACAGTTCTAATTGCTCAACATGACACTGTATTTACACTTACAATGCACGTTTTAAATATTTAAACCAAGTAGTGTTAAAGGACCACTGTCAAACTCTTACAATTAAAATTTTATAAGTCGTAACAAAAATAATCAGAGACCGTTCTTTTAACTTAAGATCATTTAAGTATTGTTTATCTAGTGAATTTCTTATAATACAAAAAATAATTTCATGACCCTCAAAAAACTACTTTCATTTGGATTACAGCAGCAGTTTACTAACAAACTCCACTTTGGGTTATGTGCATGTAAAACTCATTTCTGAGCTACAAAATTATCCCCTAGGTTTTGGTAAAGTCAAAGTTTTGGTTGCATACTTAAGTGGACTTAAGCATAGCTTAACAGGACATTTTGACAGTGATCTGTCCATTTAAGGATTCTAGCTTAGATAGAGATATTGAGTCCAGACTAAACACAAATGATGGAGGATGGAAGTTATCTTTCCTTTTGAACTGATGTGCATGTGAGTCACCTCTTAGGAGCTCAGGCTTTACAATACAGTAAAATCTGGCAACAGAAATTCTAATACTTCATCAAATAAACAAACTGATAGTGGAATAACACAGAATGCCAATTCAAAGTGATCTTACTCTTCTAGTAAACATTTGCAAAACTTTAGCAACTTGACATCCATACTGGCAGGCTTTGTGACAGGAGTTCTTGGTGACTGCCTTGATGCACAGGGTTACCACCAGGGCTCCCACAGTCTTCACAAAAACATTGTTTAAAAAAATTATTATTACTGGTGTTATGCCACTGTCAACTAATTTGCAGGAATTCAATTACTGTCAGGTAGCCTGAGACACCACGGCATCCTCTGGATAACTGGTGTATGTTTTATGTATACCTTCAGCCTGCTTCCCAGACTGTTTTTGTATTTCTTCCTCTGCCAACTGAGGCCAAGATAAACACCTCTTGGTTCTATGACATAAGTCTACCCACTGAACACTCATCATGTCATGCACTGACATGGATTTCTCAAAAAAAAAAAAAGACTCTGATCTGAGTGATAACACGTCTTTCAAGTCCTCCAGCTCTGCACATGTTCTGCCCACTCACAATTCTGCTTCAGCATGCAGATAGGCACTTTTACGAAGAACTAGGCAACAACCAATCAGTACAAACCCTGGTAAGGAATATATTCACAGTAAAGGCAGGAGTGCAGTCATCTATGAAAGGCAAAAAGCCTTACATAAAATATTAGCATTTATCATTTTTAGACAGAGATGATTTTTAAATTTTGCAATAGGTTGGTTTTTTTCCCCACAAGAATTTGCATCTATTCAGAAGGTTATCAACTTCCTCTCTCTCATGCTTTAGAAAGAGCCCTTTGGCTCCCTTACTATTGGCTATGATGGGGGCAAAACCTTCTGCATAAAGTAAAAGCCAAACAAGAAAAGTGAAACTGCATAAAATTTGGGGAGAAACATTTGCATTCTTTTTAGGGATATATATATGTCTATGTACAAAAATAAATTCAGACAGTGTCCTTTTAAAAAAGTTAAATATATATAAACTATTAAAATAATTACACAAACGCTAACAATTTCAGTAGCTTTTAAATATCACACATTCAATTTTCATAAGCAACTTACAATGCTATTTAGTATTTCTCAATGTATTTAACATTATTTTTGGAACAAACTCAATGCAACACACTTTACATTTCAGAACAACCATGTGCAGCACATATTTCGGATGCAAGCAGTAAACAATTTGAGTTACATTCACTTTGTGATAAGAAGTGTATCAGGTGCTTAAAGCAGCACCTTCAGTATGGCAAGGTCCCGCTAAAGCCTCAATCCCTCTCCTAATAGATGATTAAGAACCAAGTTACAACAAAGTCACATAAAAATACCCTGAAGCATGAACAAACGCCTTAAGCTCATCACAGTCCATTTCTCTCAACTTTCCAGAACAATATACTCTCTAAGTATTTCTTATGAGCAGATGAGAAGAAAATAAACCCATCCAGGAGAAGCTCAATCCACTTTGTACAGGATAGTGTAACACATTAATTCACTAGTTCACAAATTTTCTAATTCCTAACTTACATGCCTACAAGCAAAACAGTTCTCCAGCCAATGGTGAGAGTGCTTCTGCTTGCTCCCTCTCTTCTGGTGCAGTGGCTCCTTGCAGCACACCAGGAAACATGAAAGCCTCAACAGTCTGTCTGCACCAGAAGCTTTTTACACTGATATATCTGTGACTGTCAGCTTGAACTTGGTCTAAAGAACTTCCACCTGTTAGTGCATTCTGAACAACCTGCCAGACAAGTACGTATCAAAGATAAAGCTTCAGGTGGTGAGAGGTGCAGCAGATACCATGGCCCCAGGTGGCAATGGCTGCAGATTTATTTCCTTTTGCCCACTGAGTCCTGCAGAGATGTTGCACCTAACAAGTGACTTAATGGCACTGCTCCTAGCAGACACTAGGTCTTAGCAAGAGCTCTGCTAGGTCAAAACCTGAGCAGGAGGTGATGAATAATCACATGTCTAGTACCACATCAACAAGGTTTCAGACACGAATGTAAAACCTCTCATTTTAGCATATATTAATCTGCCAGAGTTGTAACAAAAATAAAATGATACATTTCAATTGCAATATATGTACAAACATGCTCTGAAAAAGCAGAAAGAAAAACTGTAGCTTTGGCTAATGCTACTAGTTTATGGAGTTTTTATAAAAATATGAATAAAGTAGGAAAAAACAGGGAGAGTTTTTGACGCTCACCTGTATCAATTTGCCATTTTTTACTAACACATACTGCTTCTGCTTGTTATTGATGCTTTCACAACCCATTTGGTTTTACAGCAGGTGACAGATCACACAAAACTGACTGTCACTGAGAAGTGATTCTTGAATTTGCAACACGAAGTGCTATGCTTGCAATGGATCTCATAGCACAGGTAGAAATCTTGTGACAAAGTCCAGCATGGGAAATGTAGTTGGAAGCTAACCGATACAGCCTTTCTGCTCCAAATATGTTAAAGTGCCCAGGTAGTACCTTCTCCACAAGACCTCTGTCTACTAACTCCATCAGGCGCTGGCAGCTTACAACATAGTCACTGATTCTGCTGTAGGGAAGCCAATCGATCATAGATCCATCATACACCACATCTCCACTGAACAAAATCTTCCTGTCCTTGTCATGTAAGCAAATACTGCCTCGTGAATGACCAGGCATGTGCATGACAATGAGCTGTCGATCTCCGAGGCTGATCACATCCCCTGCAAAAAGATTTGTGACAGGAAATTGTACGCACTTGTCATGTTTCTTAAATAACACATAGAGAACTACCTACTCATAGGCAGCGTTTATACATACTACACATCGCAACAATGGGAGTAGGACATTTATTTTTTTAGTGAGTGCTAAAGAGGTGTCTGAAATATAACCTTAGCAAAAAGGTATTTTCAAATGACACTAACAGTTGACACAGGCTTGGATTGTATTAATGGAATATATTCACATTCTAATAAACTGAACAATGTGAAAAGCAATGCAGTGGAGAAAATAAAATAGGAAACAAATCTAAGCTGATTTTCCTTTGAAAGTTTACAAATAATGTGTTTCATAATTTATTATCATTTTGCCCGTATTTAATTCATCTAGAATTGCACTGCTGTTACTCCTAAAAGTCAAAAGGCCAAAACATAAATTGCTGGAGGAGAACCAAGACAGGCCTCCACACACTTTCTTCATCTCATTCATTAACACATAAAAATAGAATTTTCTTATCATTAAGTCTTTTTTTTTTGCCAGTTTAAATGTGAATGTCTTTTAATTGCACCAGCCACTGAACTTATACTCGTGTCTTATGTCTCATGTAACATCTTAAAAACTCTGATGCTACTCTGGCAGCCAGTACTTTTACAGAAGGATTTTTAAAAATAATCCTCTCTCCTTTTTGAGGAAAAAAACCCAAGCTTCTGTTGATTTACTATAGTTAAATGTCATCCAGTCTTTAGTGAAGCCTTCAGTAAGTTCAGTTCTGCTTTTCCAAGCACCTGTGCCTAATAAAACCAAGAAGAGAGTAAAGCACTGTGCCTAAGGTGTCACCTCCCTGACAGTCACTCTTTAACATCTGCTGAACAGTACTGTACAGTTTAGGTGTTTAGTTACTAAAAACCCTAGTCACTGTCTCCCATTAGAGACTAAACGATCTTTTTTATCTGCAACAAGCCACTTCTGTAAATACTCCATCAGTAAAAAGTGATTTTTTTACATTTTACGTAAGTCAGGTAAAATCCAGTAAATGTATTTATGTAGAATTAACGTAAATTCTGTAAAACGAAAGTTGTGATCTCAATACATATTTCAGAAATTGTTCTGTTAACTGCACTTTCCGTGTCTTGACAGCTTATAAAGGTCACCAGATGACATAACATGACCTGCTGACATACCGCCTGAAGCCTAAGGATAAACCTGGGGTGCTCAGTTAGCCACCTAAATCACTGCCGAGTGATTCTCATTCTAGATGGAAAAAAAAAAAAAAACTCGGCCGCCAAAACTTTCTGAGCTGGTAGAAACGGTTTAACCCACTTTTAGGCGTCTTTTCTGCCCCATGCTGACTGCGGGTGTTTTTTAGTTCACAGGAGTGACGAAACGAACCGATTTCATTATTTTATAGGAGGAGCTGCGTAAAGCAAGAAGCGCTCAGCGGCAAAGCAGCTGCTCCACAATACCCAGTGCACTGCACCCCGCGGCCCCCCTTACCCTCCTGCAGCAGGCGGCTGGGCCGGACGGGCGGGACGCGGAACTGCCGGGCGCTCCAGCCGGGCCGCGGCGGCCGTGCCACCTCTCGGTCTGACAGCCACGTCACGGCCTCGTAGTTGTCGCCTTGCTGCAGCGCCGCTGCCTCGGCAGTGTGCACCGCCACCTCCTCGAAGTGCTGCAGCCCGCCCGAGTGGTCGAAGTGGACGTGAGTGGCTACGGCCAGCAGCGGCCGCGGCCCAGCGCTCTCGGCCGGCTCCAGCAGCCCAGCGTCGCGTAGGTAGTCGGGCAGGCTGCGCAGCCCCAGCCCCGCGTCGATCACCACGTCTCGCTGCGAGCCCCGCACCAGCCAGATGTTGGCCCGGTTGCCCGACTCGTAGAAGCGCTCCTGGATCCAAAAGATACCGCCGCCCAGGGGCTTATACGCGAACCACTCTAACGCCGACATGGCCCGCCGAGCGCTGCGAGCCCGGGAACCCCTCGCCAGGGCCCCGGCGGCAGCGGCGGCGGCGTGGGCGGGGCGGGGCGGGCGCAGGCCCGGCCCACTGCGGCAGCGGCAGGCGGAGCGTGGCCGTGCCGCGTGAGGAGCGGCGAAGTGTGGAGGGTTGTGGGGTTCAGGCGTGGCATGAGGAAGCGGGTATTTGAGCTCCCTTCTCCACTGAGACCCGCCGGCGGAAGGGGCAGTAAAGGCGAAGCGCCCCGGGCAGGGAGCGGTGGGGCTCTCCAGGGGTGGCGGGCCGTCAGCGAGGAGACAGCAGGAAAGGAGTGAATAGCAGCTACCAGGGGTATTCTCACACAGCAGGGGCTAGTGGTGCTCAGGACAAATATCTTCTCCCGCTTACCTTCAGGGGCGTCAGTTTAAAAAGACACCCATAAAACCTCAGTGTCTGAAGTTAAGTCATTTTTTCCATGTCTGCTCTTCCCTTAAGCTGATTGGACCTGCCAATGAAAATCAAGGATCCATGATCAGGAGTTTTGTTGTGAGGAAGCCGTAGGACACCAAGAGCTCGTCAGAGCACTCAGTCTGCTTAGGTCTGCTGTTGCCTCACCAGCCTCCTAGCAGCTGTTGGGGATCCGGGATTCCAGGGCCTTTCCCTCCCGAAGCATCAGCTGCCTTCCCTTGAGCAGCTGCCCGAGATACTGCATGCATAGGTTTGGAGGAATTTCAAAAGCTTAAATCTGTAAATCTTGTCTTTTACAAATGAAACAAAAATTACCCATAAACATGAAAATACACACAGGTGATCCTTTAGACATCCCCCAAGGCAAATAGAACACTAGTTGTGGTAACTTTGTCATGCTTAGTGGCTTAGTTGTACAACTCAACACTTCATGATTTCTCCATCTCTCACTGTCACTTTGTCCTGTCAGTAAACGTAAACATTTTGAGCCAGTATGCTTAGAAAAATCAAAAATTTGGGTAAAAATGTGAAATTGAAATGCTGCTAGTGTTATGAATGATGTTCTATTTTTCCAATTTATCAAGCAACAAGATTAAATTTAATAGTAAGCTCTTAATAGTAACAAAATGAATACAATCAAAGTATTGGAGATAACAATTAAAGTATTGGAGATGAAACAATCAAAGTGCATATATTTAAGAATATACAAAATTTGGCAGTAAGTAATTTAGTATAATTGAGGTTCGTATAAAGCATAAGCAAAACCGACCGGGGAGGGGCCCCCCCTCCGACCGGGGATACGGGGAGTGGCTCGCCATTCCACATGTATCCAAGCATCCAGGCTAACAATCCCACTTATATACTGTAGGTTACAGAAGTTTCTAGAAAGCTCTTCCTAGTTTCTATTCCTAAAATTTATGTAACTATACTGCACGGCGCATGCTCTACTAATGGGTTAGGGGGTCTCTCATCCTTTTGAGGGTCTTATTTCGGATGAAGGCTCATCATCTTCATCAGTGACCGAGGTGTGACCTGCAGGTAGCGCAGGCGCCCTGTGTGACTGAGCAGATGTTTTCCATAACATGACTCTAATTAAGTCCCATGCTTGGAATCATTCCATTTTTGCCCATTTCAAGGTTGAAGCTGTATTTCTAGATGCTGCTTATCAGACCTACGTCCTTTTACTATTCTTATCTGACTTTCTTCCAACCTTCTTCTTCGACTCCCAACATCTGGAAGATGTCTTTTGTCCTGTCTCACCCATCTCCCCCCCCCCACTCTGTAATAATTGTCTTCTATTGATCTAAATACAATGTTGCTAATATAGTTACAATTTAATTAGCACGAATCACATTTATCACACTAGTCTTAAAGCTTGTTCTTAAAGCTTGTTTTTATCTATCCAAAAATGCCATTTAAAGGGAATTTACTAAGAACTAGATTTAAAGTAGCTTTAAAAAGTGGACATTCATATTCACTACATTTAATGCCTTTCTTTGCTAGCTCAGCATCTAACTTTTATTTCGTTGTGTTGTTCTGCTGTTGTTTCCTTTTCTTTTTTCACATCTAGATAATTGCTCACATGTGGAAAAATCTGTCATCAACATGTTTTCTCTGGCCTTAATGAAAAGGCCATTGCTTCTGTATGGGGGGAGCCAGATGCACTCATACAGGTACTGCAGTAAGTCTGGAACAACCTGATTGTACCAGGCAAACTGCAGTACAGTGACCTTGCAGTTAGTGAACAGTTCATGGGATTTCTGGGTTAGGACCTTGGACCGATCTCTTAAGTGGTCTGTGGGAGTAAACAGTGCATCAGCTGAGCTTCTCTTGGGTCCCATCTATTGACATCTTCCCCCATTCTCACATTTTGTACAGTGAGATGTACAATGTACAGTGTACTGTACAATGAAGTGCAATTCATGAAGATGAAGGTTGGTATAATAGTGAAGGTGAAGAAATGTGACTGTAAATGTTTTGGAGGCTCTTCTTTTATGACCTTTGTTAAATATTTTAGTTAGTGTTATGAATGATGTTCTATTTTTTCCAATTTATCAAGCAACAAGATTAAATGTAGCAGCAAATTTTTAATAGTAATAATTATAAATGTATACAATTAAAGTATTGGAGATTAATACAATCAAAGTGCATATTTTGAGAATACACAAAATTTGACAGTAATAATTTAGTATAATTAAGGGTTTATATAAAGCATAAGCAAAACCAACTGGGGAGGGGCCCCCCTTCGACCAGGGATATGGGGAGAGACTCGCCCCTCTTCATGTACCAAAGTATCAAGGCTAACAATCCCACTTATATACTATATGCTACAGAAGTTTCTAGAAAACTCCTCCTAGTTTCTATTCCTAAAATGTGCGTCACAATGTTGTGTTGTGTGTGATCTACTAATGGGTTAGGGGGTCTCTCATCCTTTTAAGGGTCTTATTTCCGATGAAGGCTCATTGTCTTCCTCAATGACCAAGGTGTGACCTGCAGGTAGTGCATGCGCCCTATGTAACTGAGCAGATGTTTTCCATAACAAGACTTAATTATGCAGTCCCATGGTTGGAATCATCCCGTTTTGGCCCATTTCAAGGTTGAAACTTTCTATTTCTAGATGCTGCTTGTCAGACCTATTTCCTTTTACTATTCCCTTCCAACATTCTTCTTTGACTTCCAACATCTGGAAGACGTCCTTTGCTCTGTCTCATCCATCTCCCCCCTCACTCTGTAACAATTGTCTTCTATTGATCTAAATACAATTTTGCTAATATAGTTACAATTTAATTAGCACGAATCGCATTTATCACAGTTAGAAACAACCTCCTTTTTTCAGCAGTTAGCTTGCAGTCCTGCTGGAGTGTTTTAATGACTTCTGATTATCGTAAATTACCTCTTTGCCTGTGTCACTTTATCCAGATCCAAAAAGAGTTATTAAGATAAAGGACAAAAAATAGTCAGGATGAAGAAGTCATGAATGACAAACACAAACTGGTTTTAGGAAAAAAGTTCAAAAGACTAGAATGGAGTCACAGAAAATTCAGGGTTCTTAAACTTTTTTTCACATGTTTTTGGTTCTTCTGGTTGAACTCAACACAGTACATTTAATGTTTAGAAGAAGATGACTTAAAATTCCTAGGTTAGGAGGCAATTTCAGGCATGCAGAGGTGGCTAGCAGAAATATGGGAATGAAGCTGATTTTATCTGTGTATCAAATTTACAGTCTCTGGAATAATCTACGATGGGCATTGAAAATGGCTTGCTATTTAAAAATGATCTTTGGCTTTAAAATGACTGCAATCTTTGTTAGACACAAACTTTCTTGGTAGGATGTACATCGATTTGAAACATGTAAAGAAAATATATCTCTAAAATTTATAATGTTTTCAGTGCATCCAAATGGTTAGGTCAGGTGGAGGAAGAGGATATGCTTCATTCACCTTCAACATGGAAGCTATTGGCTTTGGTAAAGGTGCAGCTCTAGCTGATGCCATCTGTAAGCCTCCACCACCATTTCCAGTAAGTACAGCCAGTATCTTGGAGCACACTGTGTTCAGATAAAGTGTGTTCACGCTCGTGTTTAGAGAACGTAATGAAATATATGAGCCACCCTAAGAACTTTGGATTTTATAGCAATGTAATTCACCATTTTTCTTACTATTGCTTTACTGCCTCTTTGTTAACTGCTGTAGCCCATATTTAACTGGATTGCTTGCAAGGAGTTAAGTGTGTTGGAGTCCTCATCAAGATTTGGTTTTCTGGACATTACAAGAGCGGAAACACTGGATACTTAATTTGTCTGAAATGAGTTTACATTAATCTTTGAAGCTATAAATAGATTGCTGATTTTAGAAAATTACTATTTATGCAAACATGGAAGATTGTGTATGATTGTCCTGTACTGCAGAAGCCAGCATTTGAAAATAACTGAAAGATAACTTTGTGTAATTAGGGGAGCTTAATTCAAACTTGGCATTTAGGATGTATTTGAAAATCAAAGGGGAATAAAGACCATTTTCTGACTATGTTTTGATGTGCAGGGAAGCTTTTGACTTACTGAACGATTTATTATTTATCCTCTTAGTCCAGCATTACAATTAAGATGTGTGATTTCATATTATCAAGTTATCTGTAACGGTTTCTTATGTGAATGTTGCAGTCTGCTTGGTAGCATAGTTCTGTTCTGTCCGAATTCTGTATACCCTGCAGCTTTTGAGGTACAGTCAGCCTTACAAGAGAATTACTAGGATATCTACTGTATATCTAGAACTCACTGGTGATTATTACTGTGAGAAGTGCTTCTTTTCATTCATGAGTTTTTGCCTAGTTTTATTAGCTGCTGAGTGCTTATTCTGAATGTTAGAAATGGCAAGTACTGTTACAGCTTTATAAAAGTGTTTAAAAAACCTAAAGTGGCTAAACAGTGTATGATCTTTCCCTTCCTGTCTTGTGGTGATTTTGAATAATGGGAGCTGACTTAAACTTTAAAATGTAAGGTTTCATTTCCACATGAAACCAGTCAGAGTATTTCCTGGCTAAATATTCATGATGCTG